TTTTTTAAAAAGCAGAGTATGTTTTTGGGCATGGCTACCTTGTGATTGAAGTCCTTCTTAGTGAGTCTGTCACTAAACTCAGATCAAACTGTCAAACGAGGCAGTACTGAAGATAATTTGAATCAAGATCCTGTTACTGCTCACACTTCTTGCTCAGACTCTTATGCGCTGACCATAGGTTCCAGATCCGGGGAGAACAGGGCATACAGTGGAAGAAGATAGGCAAAGCAGAATTGTAACTAAGATAAACCTGTGTACCTTTCTTGGTGTCCTGCAGCCTCTCTCACACCAGATGAAAAATGTGATTTCTGAGAAACAAAATCGACATTCAAGTTGACATTCCTACGTTGAGGAACAGTAGGCAGATGTGACTGCAACATGGAAAAACGTTTCTCGATCTTCCCTTTCAAGAGGAATTTATAATAATACTTTTATAATGCAAAAAAACACTGAAACAAATACATTTCTCTAAAACACAAAAAAAATGCTGGTGTAAAAAATTAAAACAGTCTGTAATAAACTATCTGTAGTTGCACTATAAAAGAAAAAAACTGGCAGCTGTGGTTGCCAGAACTTTACTGTGATAAATACAGCACTATGGTAAATGGTCATTAGTACTGTTGAGTTTTATTCCATATTCTACCGTATAATACAAGTTTTCACCATCAACAGAAGTTGTTTTGCCATGAGATATGACAGTGGTTTTCTGTGCAATTTACTGTCTGTGATATAAAAAAAATACTTTATTCCATATACATTTCTTTAAAATGCTGTATAACTAAAGGTTTTGCCATGAGATATGACAATGTTTTACTGTTACAGAAACTGCATTTAACCTATTTGGAGGTTACAGTCTTTTACTGCCATGGTTTGACAGTTTTTACAGTGTGTCTTCGGTGTAGTTACACAACCTTGAACATTCTTGAACGTTTTCGTACATATTGCCAGTCTATTTTTTTGGAAATATCACATTGTTATTGCTTCAGTCATTTCAGGGTTGCATTAGAGTGGCTCAGTGTAACACAAGGCTAATTTGAACCATAATGAGACACTTAGTTGTCTTCTGTTAAAGCAGATAAACGCATGTAGATATCTTTGTATTTATTGTCCTGTATATTATCAATTAATGATGACTGTAACCTCTTTTACGTATAAAATAAGAAATATTGGCAAACAAATAGCCTATATAAAGAATGGAACCATGGATAATGTTTTTATGTTCCTTTTTGTTTCTGTCTGTCTGTGTGGTAGGTGTTACCAAGGAATGTAATTAGGTTCCGTTCCATTTAGTGTAGTAGAGCCTTTTCAGTGAACCAAAATGCACAATTGCAACACCCTGACTCTATTTAACCTGAATTAGTATCATTAGTAAGGCGTGTTTTTTCTACTCTTTCATGTCAAAATGGCTGCTGTGAAAAAGGTCTATTGCCAGTTTAATAGACACACCTACTGTAGCTATGAATGCCATCTGTGACAAAAGCTTTAAATGAAGACCCAGGAAGCAGTTACCACTTCTGGGTTTTACTGACTATGTTCACAATGCAAACCTTATTGCTCAATTCTTTATTGTTTTTGTAATTATCTGACCTGAATTTCCCTATTATTATGTGTATTATTATAAAATATAGTTGATAATAATATATAACATATCGAAATCTTAGCTATAGCTTTAAATAAAGCTTTTGCCATGAGATATCACAATGTTTTACTGTTACAGAAATTTTCACATATTTAGAGTTTACGGTCTTTTACTGTCATGGTTTGACAGTTTTTCACTGTAAAATCTACAGACTCCTTTTTACAGTGCAATGAAAATTAATAAATAGCAGAAAATAACTTAGACACAAACATTACCAACTCAAAAGTAAAGAAAAACAAAAGCTAAAATGTCAAAATGCAAGAAAATAAGGTAGTGCCTTTAAAAAGTTAGATGTCAATTACCAGAGAAAAAGACACAGTTGTTGTTTCAGAGGCTTTATTGCTAACAAGACACAGTTCAGCCGAAACACACTCTCCATCTGTCTTCCTTTCTCTGGCCCTCAGGCTGCTGATATAGTTTTACTCCAAACAGCAACCTTTGACACTGGCATTTTCAGCCCATCCAGGATGTTTTTACCAAAACAATCTGGGTAACATAATCGCCTCAGCTTTTAATGACTCGGGTGGAATCCCCATTGTTTATTGCTACCACGGCCGACTAATGTTCAGTTTAAGATGTTTTTCTACAACTGTACCTTTGTGCAATGAGAATTTAAGGAGTAGAAAGTCCAGATATTTGTGTAAAAATTTAGGGAGTAAAAGTAAAAATAAGGAAAAAATAAATAAATGCTCAAGTATAGACACCACCACTAAAAAACTACTTAAGTACATCTCTGTAGAAAGACACAGGACTTTGATGTGAAACCAAAAGTAAACATCAAGTTATGTTAAGTTTTAAGTTACATAAATTCAGTTATCTTGTGATTGTTAACTGTAACATGTAGTGTCCCAAACCACCATCTTTTCCTAAACCTAAATCATTTCACAACTTTGTGGCAGCCCGGTGTGTTTCTAAAAAGTATTGGGTGCGTCTGTATGAGACGCAGAGGGGGTGTGAAAAAGCATCGGTATTTGAAGACCTGAGATGAGAACCACTCAGCAGTTTAGGTTTGGTGACTAAAACCACCTTGGAAAGATGGTGACCATGATAAACACTGAATATGAATCATGCAGTAATTCTCAGGAGACAGCTGTCAGTGAGTCATTAACAACAATGGAGAAAAGTTAGTTTATTGTTGTTGGTTTGAATTTCTCCAAACTTCCACCATAGTAGATACATGTGATTACATGTGATCAGATATGACAAAAAATTTTATGGTCAGCCTTGAAACAAAAAAGGTTCATGCTCAGTTCAGTGGCAAGTGTGTTGAGTCTGATTGTTCATCTGAGTTTCTGTTTGTGAGTCGAGACTTTTCTGCTGTTTCATCCACATGGCTGCATACAGACCTCCCTGGACCAGCAGCTCCTCGTGTCTGAACACAGTGTGTCATGACAGGGACAAAAAGGACAGTATGGGGTGAGACAAGAAAGAAACTACCAAAATTACCAAAAGTACATCTTCAAAACAAGGGTCAGGAACTCTACTGTGCCCGTCTGATTCTGCTATTGAGGCATTCATGTCCTTTTCAGTTTGCTCTATCTACACATACACAGAATGTGCTGTTTCCTTCTGCTACTCAGAGGCAGATCAAGAGGGGTGGCATAGTAAATGTCTGGACACCCCAACTGCCACCCCCTTTTGGTGTCAAATGCTGTCAAATTTAACACATTGATTTAGATTAATTTTAAAAATAAAAATGGAAAATGATTGAATGTTGTTATGACCATATTTACTGAGCAGTGGACTGGAAACAATTTATTGATTTCTAAAAATGGATTGATTTCTAAAGCCACATTTACACATTTCTGTTCAAGACTTTACTAATGTGCCACAATAATGTAGTTTTTTAGTTCAAATATCTTCATGTGGGGGCCTTTCAAAGCAAATATTAATCAAGTATATATTTCTGCCACGCCTTAAAGTCTCCATTTCACCCCCTGGCCCCAAAAAACTAACAGAAAAGAACAAGAACAAGAACAAAAAAGATATCCAGCCAGCCACTTTTTACTGTCTATAACACTCTGACCCCAATATGCTGCTCCAGTGTGCCACCCTAAGATTTTCAGTGACCACGTGAGAGGCAGCTGGATTTCAGTCCCAGATTTCAAAGGCACAAATTGAAAATGTGGATAAAAACACTTGAGAGGACAGTCCAAGAAGTCACTTGCACAGTCACTGCAGCTTACTTAAACTTTAGTGTTTAGCATTTGTCTTCCAGATTCAGTTTTTCAAAATAAAATAGTATGTGGCAGCAAAGGACCCAACTCAGATATCCAGAATGTCCAGACATTTACTACAAGCTCTTGAACACAAATACAAACAATAATAAAAGGGAGCGAAAGAGGACAACCCTGTCTCTTAAAAATACAGTCTGTATCAAATTCACTGTCCCAACATTTCATTTATTTTCTTCCTATATCTGTCTAATATCCACTGTTATTGTGGGAACTAAAAAGATAAAAGAAATTGACTTTTTCTTAAGAAATAAAAATAAAAGGAAAAGAAGAGCAGGCAGAGGAGAAGGTGGGTCGCTCATAATGTCTTGTGACACCAGAGCTGCTCTAAGAACAAAGTTGAGCTGTCTAAAATCCTGATGCAGACTTTAGCCAACTTTACTATGAATTAATAATACCAAGGTCTGTTACTGTCTGGACTGCCAGACGGGAAGAGAGAGAGCGAAAGTGCGGATCAGAAATAGAGGATACAGAGAAACTGAGCGAGATAGAGAGAGAAAGAGTGAGAACAGGTTGATGCAGAGGAAACGTGGAGTGGAAATGTGGAGAAAGAATAGAAGAAAAGGAGGGGGGATGAAGAGAAAGAGAGAGAGTGGAAGACAAGGTAAAGAAGAAAAACAGATGTATAGTTGCATTCCTATGACGCTGTCAGACTCAAATTCAAACTGACAAAATAAGAGCTCTTGTCTATTTTTTTTCACCCATTCTTCTTCCTTGTCAAAACCTGGTGCCTACATTGCCCACAATGCAACTCAACGCACAGCAGTTGGATATTCATTGGAGATCAGTGGCTAATGTAATGCATTCATGTATTGGATGCATGTTTTGCCCTGTCGTGTCAACCTTGTCTCAAGTCACCCAATTCATTAAATCATCTCTGTCATTTCACTAAATAAATAGGAAAATGCATTTCGAAAAAGGCTTCATCCAACACATATGCAGTAGTACTGATGTGTAAAATTGGCGGGATCCAAATTCAAAAGGTTGAATTATGTATCATCCCACTGGGTCCACACTGTGGTGCTGGTTGACCCGCACACCTCCACAACTACATAATTGCGGCTGGCGTGTGGACCCAATGCGTGCCTCTCCTGTACAATGCCAACATACAGCCACTGTAAACATTTTAACACAGAAAGGTCTAGCCAGTACGACAGAGTATTAAGGCCATACTAAGAGAAAAAATGTTTTTTTTGGGGGGGGGATTACGTGAATAAAATCATAATATTACGAGAATAAACTCATAATATAAGGCTGAGGCTGCTGTTTGGTTGAGCTGGTCACGTCAGATCTGTATGTAAATGAGAACAAATAAATCAGGCGTTGGGCTTTATTAAAACACAGAGCAGGGGGAGACAGAACCCAAGTTTAACCATCTGAGACTCAGCAGAGTAACTGGGCTGTGTCTATCCCGCTGCTGAAACAGATGCTGGCTGAAAGACGATAGCAAAGGAGATGAGATTGTTAGTGTGAATGAAGATCTTCACAAAACCCATCTAAAGAAGTTTGTACGCATGTTGCATTCGAGTGTAAACAGTTTTTTCAGAATTAGCTGGCTTAGAGTGGACGTAGTCTTCGTAAAGAATGTTAAGTGCGGGGACTGCCTGAGGACGGGATGAGGCCTCTTCCTGTTTCTGTTTCATGATACACTCCCACACTCTGTTGTACAACTTGTGTGTATTCTGACACCGGAGGTTAAATGGGCCAGTCCTATGTTTACATCACAATGTCTATCAAAAGATGAATGGTTTCTGGTTGGTGTTCCCCACACATGCCTGCAGGGGCAATTAAAGTCCCTCCACTACAGCCCTGCATGTCTCTCAGGTGACCTCTAATCAACACCTCTGCATTATTATGTGCAGTACATTCAGCTAGAGGATCTACATTTATCAGAATTTAAACATTAAAGTAAAATGTATCTCTTCTTTCGCCTCTTGCTTGCCACTGCATGTGTGTGTGTTTAAGTGACCTCAGTGTGTGACAAAGGAAGTCTTCATACCCAGCTCCTATATCAAAGGACTGTATGCATCGGTAGTTAAGTGGCAGCTCCACTCTTTGTGTGTGTGTGTGTGTGTGTGTGTGTGTGGTGTTGTCCATCAGCCTCTGGGGTTGAGAAAGATACCAGCAGGATTAGGGTTCACACAAACACACTCTGAGGTTTTGATCTACAGATAACAAATTGGCAAGCACTTAGGACACACACAATCATTCAGGTGTGTCACACAATCACACACACACACACAGTGGCTGTTGAGCTACTCAAATTCTACTTCACGTGTGCGCAACGCTGGAAAGACAACCTCACCTTCCTCTCTCTGCTATTTGTCCATTGTGGACCACCAGGATCTGGTCTGCTCCGATGATGGTGGATAACCTGCATCATACATCATACAGATATTATTCAGACTTAAAAGTAAAAGCAAAAGCATAATAACATTTAATAGTTTTAAGACATAGAATACCAGTCAAATTCTTTTGAATTCACCATATAATCTATATACAGGTTCTATTCCCAGGTAGCACATTTAAGCCTAAACTGCATTACCAGTGTCCAAGAGTTGGTTTTAGTTTAGTTTAACCCTAACCACTATTACTATGGATATTAGGAAAATATAAAATTAGGCTACCGAATATCAATTATGAATCATTCATTTGATCATTTGATCATTTGACTTTGGTGCTCCATAAAAATTAATTGAAGGACTGAATTGTGGAGAATCTAACTGATCTAACGAAGTGCAGCATGTCCATAGTGACAAAAGTTCAAATATCTACATTTGTGTAGGCAATCTAAGCAGCTTAGAACTCGCTCAAGCAGACGACATGGTGGGCTTTAAGTGGTTTTATACACCCAAATAACTTCTATAAAATTCAATGGATTCTAATGGAGACTTGCATTTATTTGTCAAAACGTGTAGCCACACCAGGTTAATAAATGGGATCTGTCTTTAATTGGGAATTTTAGGAATTCAAGTTCAGGTATCAGGAAGAAAAACAGTGTCGAAGCATCTCTACTAAAATGCAACAGTAGCAAGTAACTCACTATCACTATTCTCATTCATATTTTAAGACGCTATAAACATACATAAAGAGAGTCGTTGAAATGTAGATGATGCACCTTTGCGTCTAGTCGCATTGGTGTATATTGACAGGATTACAGTTTTTCCTTGCCACTGTCACCAAGTGCTTGCTCATGGTGGGAACTGTAGGTAAATAATCTTGAAAAGGAGTACAGTCTAGACCTGCTCTATATGAAAAGTGTCCTGAGATCACTTCTGTTATAATTTCCTGCTGTAAAAATAAAATTTAATTGAACTGAATTGAAGACCAATCAACGTTTTCACCATGACTGAGAATGGAACGACTGAAAATGGAAGGGAAGAGGGAGGCAGATAGTTATAGAGATATGATAATTCCAGTGGTGCCAGAGGTTGGAAAGAGGCAGATAAGACATGGAAATGGAAATATGTACGTATACCATAGAAAAAGAGAGTAGGAGGGAGCCATAATGTGCAGTTGGATGTTAAGTATGTTCAGCTGCCTCATAAAAGTAAAATACACACAGTCATTCCTCAGTAATCATTAACAGAAACACACAAACACACTCACTCAACTTCAGCTCTGTCAGTTCTGTCATACACGTGTAACAAACTGACTAACACACAGACACACAGCTGAGCATGTCGCTCTGGGTTGCAGAACTCTGTATGAACTTGTCTGTAAATTATTAAAGTTAATATTTATGACCAGTCTCTGATGAGAGTCTGATTAAAGCCACACTCTGGGATCTAAATGGCTCTCAGCTCCAGACTCAACTTTGTGATGTGACCCAGTGGGGTGCTGGAAGATGCACGGATGAAAGCTATCCACGGCTGCATAATTTTCAGTGTTTTTCTTCCAAAAAATGAACATTTGTGAGATAAATGGTTGAATCTGGAAATAGGTTTTTGAAGAATGATCCCCAGGGGAAATCAGGCCCTTGTGCATAATGCTGTACACAGAACAAACAGACTGCTTCTGCAGACTGTAGAGCTCATGCCTCTCCAAACTGCTGAGTGTCACTTTAAGTTTCAGCAGAGCAACCACTCTACTTTAATGTCACCAAGGCTATCTTTGGACGTCCACCTTCAATATTTGATAGAAAACCTCGGTCAAAGGTAGAAATATCTCTCCCCAGAGACTGCAGACGTCAGCTGTGTTTTTCTCCACTCATTCAGGCTTTACAGCAGGAAGAAAACACCCAGTGTGTTTACATGCAGGCAGCATATATTTCATATGCTGTTTTCAAGATTAGGTTCATGGTAGACTTTATACTGCATTATCTTCTCTTCAGATGGGATGCAGTGAAGGATAAAATCAACTCATGTTTTTAGGCTAGATATAAATGTTTCAAATTCATAATTTGCATAATACAAAGTAATACTAAATAAATTACCCATTATATTATTTTTTCCCTCATTTCCACAAATGTTAATTTTATGGTTTTAATGCAGCTTGAACAAATAAATGTTTACCCCAAGTTGACACCCTGTTTTAATGAGTTAGGACAAGGCACTTTAATCTGCCCTCACAGGAAAAACAAAGGTGTTACACTAATAAAGTCAGTGTACTGTGCCGCCAATGAATATTTGTTTTGAAATAAGAAAACCAAAACTGGGAAAAAAGCCATTTCCCAAAGGACCCAGAAAAAAAAATTAAAATTGTAAATTAAAAAACGACCTGTTTTTTGTTTTTTGTTTAGAAAATAATAAACAGAAAACAGACGATCCATTTCCCAGCTCACTGAACCACTTCAATAGAACGCCACCATTGTTAAATAGTTACACCTGTGCTTTGCTTTGAAGAAGGTCTAAACCAGGGGTTCTCAAATGTATGTCTGAATCAGATTTTTAATTTAAGGACACAGGTCTGAACAACTGGTAACATTTAATAACATACATTTACAACGAACTACATTTACACTAGTTTTGTGTAAATGTGACACATTCCTTGATCTGCAATTTAAGAGCTGACAGCAAATTCTCCAGTACTAATGAACTCGGAAGCAACAACACACATTCTCTGTCCAGCAGTTAACGTTGCCATTGGCCTCTAGGATGGATGAAAAAATAAAAATATCTCTCGATGTAACGTATTGTGTGAGGTCCAGACTTTGAGAAGCCCTGGTCTAAACCCAGTGACTGTGCAGTTCAAGTTCTGCTTTCATTCAAACTTTGGGTGCTTCTGTCTAAATAACTGTCCAACCTTAACTCTATACTTATATATATATACTAATATTACCATTGCAAAACAATGATAAACTTCAATCTTACTTTATCCCTTTGTTGTGATATGAAGCCTGGATAGCAGTTACTTGGGTTAATCTATCCTTTAAGTCATTGCACATCACTACCACCTACATCTCAGTACAGAGTAAATGAAAAGGTGAGGTGTTCATGGCTTGGTTTTGTCAGCAGATTGCTACCATGTTCAGGGGAAGGAAAAAAATTCCCTCCATCCAATAACTGAAGTTGATTAAAGAGAGATTGTAGCTAACCCTTCAAAGTGAAATCATGATCAGTCTGTTGTGATTGTGTGTGTGTTTTAATTTTATTTAAGGCCCGAACTGATTAAGTCAATAACCAGTCCTGATCCGGATAGCAGACTCCATCTGTTGCTGCTATTGAAAGATTAAGGGGCTGGTGGATCAACTTATTCAAAGGTCAATATAGAGAGAGACACTGCAAAAAGGGGACCATACAATTAATTTAAAAAGGAAGATAATAATAAAAAAAGACATTGGATGACTTATCAGACATATCTTGCATATATAAAAGATTAATTATCAAATGTATATGAATTTATGCAGTTTACTTCAAACGTCACAATTCATTAAATGTTTCTTTACCAGAACAACAGTTAGTGTTGTTCATGAAAACTTGTGTTTTTGGTGAACCGAATGTTTCCATTTGCAACTAATGAATGAGAACGTGAGTGTTGTTACCTTATGCGGGAGATAAAGGCGCATACGCACTGTTGAGTTAAAACAATAGAAGAGAAAATGGAATACACAAGTAAACAATGCCAGGCGGAACTTAAGTTTAACTTTCTTTTTCCAGCTGGTTCATAAAGTTAATGATGATCACAAGCAATCATAACAAGGACCATGAGTTAACAGCCGGAAGGTTCCTCAACCCTTGTCAGACTCACAGCATTTTTTAAAGCAGAGGAAATGAAGACAACTAGTACATTTGTTTTGTTCAAATTCAAAATTGTGCACTATGAACATGAACTAGTTCATTTTAATCTGTGTGAATGGAACTTTGAGCTGTTGTGAAGTGTAAACTTGCACAACACTGCCAACCTGTGCACAAACTATACCATGAATGTTGAGTGGGCTCACTTTTTTTGTCGGAATCTTTAATAAAGTTAATTAGATCGTACATAAATAAAAGCCTAATTTTACACATCATCTATGATGATGAAGATGCAGAAAAATATGACTGTATGGCCAAAATAGCACATTTTAGAGACTTCCCCCTGCCCAGATTTTCAGAAATAATTTTTTCAGGAGAGCTCATGTCTTATTAAGAGAAGCCAAGCTGCCCCTGGTACCCTGCTGCCAATGGCCAACATGCTAGTTTAGAAACAGAGACTTGCCTCAGAGCTTTGGTATCAGTACTAGTCACAGTCAACATCTGTAAGCAATGTTTGTGTGCATGGGTCAGAGTTTCCAAACAGGTGGCAACATTCTCCTGTCAGGTTTGGTTTTATGAATCCCACTTTTTATTTGAGTGGGGGTGCGCATATCTTTTAAGGTGTGTATGCAGTGGGTGTTTGTGTCCACCTCACTGTAACAACACAAAGAGTCTACAGCCGCAGCTCTGTCAGGTTGTCCCTAGGTACAGCGGTGCTTTGAACTAAATGCTAACATGGGCATGCTAATATGCTCAAAATGACAAGATAACATGCTGATGTTTAGTTGGTTTGTTTAACATCTTACTTTACTATTTATGCTAACATTTAATCATTAGCATTAATCACTGCAGGCCTACAGCTGAGGCCAATGAGAGTGTTATTGTTTTTGCTGGCATTTGGTCATGAACAAAATACTAAGAAAATAGAAATGTTTCTGGAGAATTTGGAAATCTGTCAAAAAAATATTGCTTCTCATGTAGCAGAAAGTACAAAAACACACTTAACTTTTGACTTTTGACTAATTGAATCAATTTCTTCAATACAATAGAAACCATGTTGAACAAGAAAAAATAATCCATTGTCCTTTAGATGTAGAACACAGAGGAAATGATAAACACTGTGTAGCAGGAATCAGCACCACAGGCTACTTCACTCCTGATGTCTGCGAGTGTCAGAGCCTTTCAAGTCTTTTTCAATATCACTCAGACTGATGAATAACCAGACATCTGTTTCTTTTACTTTTGTTGACCTGTCATCACGCGTCATCTCATATCCTCCAATCAGCTTTTCATTTAATCTCTCCATCCCTCTCTTTGTGTCTGCTCTAATCCTGTTTTCCTTTCACCACATCCTTCTTTTCCTTTCATCTCCCTTACTCACATTTGGTTTTTCTATTCAGTTTTGTCCTGTATGGCCACTGCAACTGTAATCACATTGTAACAGACTACTGTCATTTCTAAAGCAGAATGTGTGTTTATGCATTCATTGTCAAATGAATAGAAACAAATGTCCAGTTTGGACCGCCTTTGGCCAGAACAACTGCCACTTCCATCGAAAAAGGACCTATGTGGGAAGTTGTAGATCGCCACCAACCATATTCGCCACAAAACTTGTGAAAAATGCGAAAAGTGCCTATCCAGCACTTGTTTGTTTTGCCTGTTCTGGGCTACTGTAAAACATAGCAGTTCAACATGGTGGCCTCCACAGAAGAGGAACCGCTCCCTCTGTAGA